GCTCACTGCAACTGCAACCTCCCAAGTTCAAGAGATTCTCCTGCCTCAACCTCAGGAGTAGCTGGGACAATAGGCGTGTGCCACCACGCTTGGCTAATTTTTGTATTTTTAGTAGAGACAGAGTTTCACCATGTTGGCCTGGCTGGTCTCTAACTCCTGACCTCAAGTGATCTGTCTGCTTCGGTCTCCCAAAGTGCTGGGATTACGGGTGTGGGCCACTTCGAGGGCCCTATCTCTTCTTTTCAATCCTTTCCTTTCACCTGCAGAAGTGACTCGGTGAGAACAGTACTTACCTTGCCAGGTCTATAATTTGTGCTTAAGCATTCTAAGGTGGGGTTTTCCCCCAAAATATACGTTCTCCCTTACTTCTCTTTGAACAAAATACCAGTTGTGCAGATCATTAAAGCCTCACTTTTCTATGCGTGTGTATATATGCATATGTATATCATTAAAGATTCTTGCGAGTCACTGCCTGAGGTTCAGCTTTCTCAGGAAATCTCTCTTTCTAAAAGAGTTCATATTCCGAAGAACTCCTTGGTCCATACATTGACTACAAGAGTTTACACTATGAGCAACAATATAAGAAAAACAAAATCACTAAATCACTCTCTGATTCTTCACGGTGGGTGTTGTTATTTACTCCTCAAGCTTTACTGAGAAACAACCTTTTTCCAGGTTACAGTATTGGACCTCATTTTCTCATGCCGCCCTTTTCTTGTGCATAAACGTTAAGTTTCTCTTTTGAACCGGGCAGACATTCCCATAGCCTTCAGCTCTTCACATGCCCAAGCCTCCGGGATCCTCTTAGTTCTGGAGTGGTGTGTGTGTAATCACTATGTACACGTCATTCCACTTCGTGTGCACGAGAATGATGGCCTCCCAAGTTTTGTGCCCTGGCCACCTTACTTGCTTCACCCTGGTCCTAGACCAGGCACAAAGGGCTGTTTACCTCCAGAATGTCCACTGCTGTCTGTCCTCGCTACCATTTCCTTTTTTGTGTGTGTGAGCTGGAGTTTTGCTCTTGTCACCCAGGATGGAGTGCAGTAGCACAATCTCAGCTCATTGCAACCTCTGCCTCCTGGGTTCAAGCGATTCTCCTGCCTCAGCCTCCCAAGTAGCTGGAATTACAGGCGCCTGCCACCACACCCCCCCTCACCCCCTGCACCGGCTAATTTTTTTTTTTTTTTGAGATGGAGTCTCACTCTATTGCCCAAGCTGGAGTGCGGTGGCACTATCTCAGCTCACTGCAACCTCCGCCTCCTAGGCTGAAGCGATCTCCTGCCTCAGCCTCCCAAGTAGCTGGGACTGGAGGCGCGTGCCACCACAACGCCCAGCTAATTTTTTTATATTTTTAGTAGAGATGGGGTTTTCACTGTGTTAGCCAGGATGGTCTTGAACTTCTGACCTCAGGTGATCTGCCCGCCTTGGTCTCCCAAAGTGCTAGGATTACAGGCGTGAGCCACTGCACCCAGCCGACACTACCATCTCTACTTGACATCAGTCACACCTTCACTGTTATCTCTTTAGTTTATTCATATTTTTTCTTTTTTGGCTACAAAAACAAAAACTGGCTTCTAAGCAGGAGACAGTTTCCTTCCACAGATGATGCTCATTATTCAGGCAGATGCTCTGGCTCCTCTTAGCTGTGTTTATCGTTCTTGGGCACAGAGAAGTGGCTCCTCCACAGATGGGCCCCACTGTGTTCCCGCCTTCCTGGAAGGTGGACGTTCTGAGGTCTGAATGCTAGACAGCGGGCTGGCTGCAGGGAAAAGCAACAGCAGCTCTTCATGGCCTCTCCCCCTACTCAGCACCAACAAGGCACCAGCAGAGGCTACTTTATTGGCAGGCCACGCGTGCGCTCAATTTTTCTGCACTATATATCAGATTTACGGCAATTTTCCCAAAAGGCCAGAGTAGTTTTTAAATTCCAGGATTACAATTTTTTTTGGTCGCTTCCAATTTAAATACTCTGCTTCTAGTCAAAACAGTGCAATGAACAGTGAAATGGCCCTGAATAAAGATCACCACGTGGCCCCTCTGCTGTCCTTACACCTCGGCAGTCTGAGGTCTCCGATCATAAGCCAACAGCATGATGCCTGGGGCTGTGGTGCTGCTCAGAGCACAGAGGCTAGAGGGAGCTCTCAGGTTTGATTTGGTGCTCCCTGAACTAACCAACCCTCTTTCAAGCTGCTTCTCATGAGAAAGCTCAGTTGAGAGCATCAGCCACAGTTGCTCCTTCTCGCCCATCTTGTTTACCAAGAAAAGAAAACCTATTTAGAACCAAAGAACACACAGGTGAAGCAGACACCAAATTTGCTTTTTGCAGGAAACACCACTGGAGAGCCAAGAAATAATAAATTACGTTGAGGCACTTGAAGATAATTGCAGCCTTAAAAGACAGAGTGGGGCTAGGCACGGTGACTCACACCTGTAATCCCAGCAGTTTGGGAGGCCCAGGCGGGTAGATCACGAGGTCAGAAGATCGAGACCAGCCTGGCTAACACCGTGAAACCCCATCTGTACTAAAAATACAAAAATTAGCTGGGCGTGGTGGCATGCACCTGTAACCCCAGCTACTCAGGAGGATGAGGCAGCAGAATCACTTGAACCAGGGAGGCGGCAGTTGCAGTGAGCTGAGATCAAACCATTGCACTCCAGCCTGAACAACAAAGCAAGACTCTGTCTCAAAAAAAAAAAAAAAAAAAAAAAAAAAAAGGGGCAGAGGGTCCTGCACTCAGGAACGCAGTCCATATGTCTCCTCAGTCCCCACCCCTCGTTGTGCGCAGTCAGCCAACCTGCCGGGGCTTACTGAGAACCTCTGAAGTGCTCAGCTCTGCTCCATGTGCAGTGGAGAACTGAAGCACAGCCAGAGGCAGTCCCCATTGATGTTTCTATCTGCTCAAATTTTAAAGCACGTATGAGCCTTGAACTCAACATTCCTGCTGTCCAACAGCACTGCTGGGGGCAGCTCTGAGGGCTTGGGGACACAGGGTGCTGCCCATGTGCTGCCCAGTGGCTCCTCTCAGCTACTTGGCTGCATGACTCCATGTACCAACTCTAAACAGTTGTATACAGGGTTGAAAATGGGAGGCTTGACTTGAATATGAATCTGAAGATTTGCTCTGTGGGTAGCAAGCCAGTCCTTGCTGTTAATCCACCCTTACTTTATTAGTTACATACTTTATCTTGAAAAACACAAAGAACAGTGCCTGATATATTTTAAGTGCTAAGTGCATTATAAATATGAACCCATTTAAGCCTCATAACAAGCCTGTATTATCTGAATTTGAAGGTGAGAACACTAAGGCACAGAGAGATCAGGTGACCTGCCCAAGGTCACCACTAATGCGAGGCAGAACGAGAGCCAAAGGTCTTGCAGTCTAGCTCTGGTCTACACCATCAACCACGGAACAAATTATTTAACAAAGGGGGCTGAGGCATTTATGTGAGTATATAACATGCCTTCCTAAGGGCAGCCACACTCATTGTAACTAAGTCTCTAACGTAGAAGTTAAAAGAACAACAAAAACAAGGCAACCAGGAGCTGCAGCACTGCAGATATCACGTCTCCCATCTTTGGCTCCTTCGTGAGTCTCAGAAGCTTTCTGCAGTGGAACACCTACCAGTCGGCCCCAGATACTTCTCCCAAGGCAGGCAGATCTGTGTGCACCAACAAAGGAGTCACCAGGCACTTGTCATTTAAACTTATGTCGCAATGAAATCAAATTAAAATTTCAGTTCCTCAGTGGCACTGGTCACTTAATAGGTGCTCAACAGCTACATGGGACCAGTGGCTACTACGCTGGACAGCAAAGCGAGACCATTTCCCACATTACAGAGACTTGTGCTGGCCAGCACTAAGTAGACTAAGTAGTGTGATTTCTTCTCATGCTTTAGTCTGAATATATACATAATAATAATCTCATCTTTTCTTCCATTATGAAGCTGCAAAATTCAAATTACACTGTTTCTTCATAAAGCAAATTTTTACCCCAAGGTTCAGCTCCAAGGGCTAGAGTAGGTTATTTACAAGTAGGTCAGGTAAAGCCCTTGTCCTCTAGTACCTGGTATCCCAGGTGTTAATATGTCTTCTTCCGCAATAATGACCAAAGCTTCAAAACCAGCGAGGAGAAAGGAATTCATGAAGAAGTTCAGCAGACAGCAAAATCAATTTTGTTTATAGATTTTAGCTTCATATTGGACAGTAAGCATGAGACACACATTCAACTGGTCACATGGAAGCTTGACAAGAGAGGGTGGCTAGGTCCACACAAACGGATACCCCATCAGAGAAACAACTAAGACACATGTTACTACACAAAATGGGTCAGACACTTTCAGGCTTTAAAAAAAAGCACCCACACAAAAAGTGTTCAAATACAATGCACACCATGTGGTCCAGGGACAGTGGTGCCAAACTTCCCACTGCTAGCAAATCCTTCCTTACAATAACTTCTAGCATCCTGAACTTCCGCTAGCAGTATACCTAAGTAAACAGTACCACCACTGTTCGTTCCATGTGGGTTCCCACGAAGCAGAAAAGCCACAACTAAAACGTGAACAACTTAGCAATAAAGCACAAATTCTAGGATATTTTCACAGCTAAGGAATCTAAAATCCAAAATTCTCCCTCTAACTCCTCAACCTGAAGTCCACGGAAGCCAGTTAAGATTATCCTTATGACCAATAGGAATGAATTGTCTTGCTCTAACACAGATCTTTGTTCATTTAAAAAATTCTCCTGTCTGCCCCTCTCTCCATTTCTTCCCTTGCTCTTACTGTCTACCCCTATTACATTCAGAAACACAATTGAATTTTTATGAAATCTTGTGATACAGTAAAAGTTATTTTTTTTTTATTTCAGAAGAATGAGGCATTGCTTACCAAGCAGGCTTATCGGAATGATTACTATCTAGTCATCTTACGTTGCAAAAACACATTAAGCTCCTCAGAAGATGCAGATTTTTTAAATGCAATAAAGTAATAATTATATTACATACTTGTGACTTCTTGCAAGAAATCCAAACACGGTCGACTACTTCCAGAAATACTTATTGAAACAGCCAATGGGGTCTGTCCTTCATAGTTCCTTGTGTTCGTGTCTGCTCCATAATTATATAACATCCGTGCACACAGCACATCATCCCTAAGGGCAGATAAGTGTAAAGGAGTCTGTCCGTCTTCTAAGCGACCCAAGTTTGTGTCTGCCCCTCTCTGAAGGAACATTCGGCAGTAAGAGTGATTGCTTTTGATCACGGCATATCGCAACAGGAAACCATTCTGAATGTCGATGTTGGCATTGTGGTCCAGGAGGATTTTCACACAGCTCGACCTCTCTCGGATAATGGCGAGCTGAAGCGGTGTGGTACCTTTATCACTGAGTGGGTCAACCTCAGCCTTGAACTCCAGGAGAAGCCGGACAAATGAGTCCCTGCCGTAGTGGGCAGCCACATGGAGGGGAGTCCAGCCGTCATTGCTTTTTGCATTAATGATGTCGCTCCTGTATTCAGATTCTAACATCAAGCGTGCGATGCGAGCCCGGCCATGCATGGCTGCATAATGAAGAGCCGTGAAGCCTCCGATTAAGTCTTTAACTGTGGGATCAGCTGGAGTTAAAACCAAAATGAAAGTATTAGCAGACTCTAAGACAAAACAACAAACACACCACGGTACAGCAAACTGAGGCCAATTCTCATACAAAATGTGAAGCAGCCAAACACTGCAATAAGCACCAAGTACATTTTCCCTCCGTTTAATTCAGGTCTAGTTTTAATGGAAAATAAATTTTGTAGAATGTTATCACAGCTGGGTTAATGAAACGAGGAAGACAAAGTGTTTAAAAACATATATACAAAAAACATGGGGTTCAGATCACCACATCCCCTCTCTTGGCTATTTAACCAACTGCCTTTGGCTACTCAACTCCCTCATCTCTGCACTGTTTCAAGTTTCTCTTCTGTTTTGAACTTTTTGTTTTATTTTCTCTTGTGCCTCTTCTTGGTCTTAAAGAGAAGCATGTGTAGCAACATCTGCTGCTCTAAATTACAGATGTACTATGGTCTGGCACACTGCGTTGTTTTAGGGTAAATTAAGTAATAAGAAAAAAGTTTTTCTGTGGTCTGTACAAATTCCAAAGCATCTCAGATACATGTCAAGTAATCTTGGTAAGTTGTTTTTTCATAAGATAAAGTCTATTCTGAATTCTTAGTTTTACATGAACTTTGGAGTTTATAAGAATTAAGCAGTGCATTATGTGAATAATTGGAAGAAACCTCAGCATTGTATAAATATTATTTTCTAAAACAGTTCCAAAAACCTAATTGCCTGATCTCTGGGGAAGGAAAAACAACTGTAATAGTTTATCTGTTATGTGACTCAAGTCACAGACTTTTGTCACTGGCCTCAGATCTTTCATTAAAGCCAAAGGTTGGTTCTTGATAGCATTCACCCCCTGGCATCCCTGGCTGGAGGCAGAAGAGGGACAAGAATGCGTAATGCAGGGAACCTCCTGGAATCCAGTGATTCTGTATACAAGATAAATTGATCAGACCTAACTACCCAGGATTAAAATGCTCTCTTCTTGTCAAAGTCACCCTTAATTTTTGGTTTGTAATAAAAGGAAAAAATCATTAATGTTTCACACACACACACACACACACACACACACACACACACACACACCCTCCCTCCACAGGTGGGTAAAAACTCATGTATTGAACAGATGTTATTTAGGTATAGAACGTATTATGAGAGATGGTTCTCTTAGAAAAATCTATGAGGCAGAAAGCTATATGTAAAAAAATAATGCTGTGGAGAGTGAGTATTTCCATGAGGGAGTTGCTAACAAAACCTACACAAAGTAAGATTTTTTTTAGGTAAGTCATGTCATGTAGATTTCTAAAAACATTTACTGTAAAGTGACAATACACAATGGTAGCATTAGTTTTATCTATTTAGGGGAAATAAGGGCATCACATCTCCCTTGGTCTTAACTGAAAGAAAAACATACAGTACCTATTTACTACATGACTTAACCAAGGAGGGCAAGAACATTTTAACAAAGCATTTTGCTGCCATCTACTGGCAAGGCATGAGCATGAGTTACTAATGTTTCCATTGGGCAGATACTTGCTGAGCCCTCAAGTCACTCAAGCCTGTTTCAGATGCATCACTTACCAAAAGTTCCAAGTCAGGCATGAAATCTAAAAGATCCCCTCCCATTCAAATGAAACAAAAAAATCTTGCCAAAGATCACCTCTAATCTCTACCTGGCCAATCAACTGCTTGCAGGCATTCCCTCTTAATCTGCAAGTGAAATGTAACAACACCTTCTTTTCACTTCTCCCACCTTTCAGCCACGGGGCAGGGGTGGTGGGGGGTTGGGAGGGCTTTAAAGGAGCCAGTCAGCATCCTTATTTGCATCCTATACTTGTACTATTTGATGGTAAAATTAAAATTATGTTACAAAACATTACACTTGCATCTCTGGTTTACATCTGAGGTCTCTTTTAGGTTCTATGTACATTTTGATGCTACACTGAGCCAAGGAAAAACACAGATTAACACACACAACAATGATCGGTTTAGTCTCTGTTAAAACTGAATGGGACATTAGAAAGCAAATGAAAATGCAAACAAAATGTAATTTAAAGATTATTAGCCCATGAAATAAGGTAAGAAAGATATCTCATTCATAATAGCAACATAAACTACGAGGCACCTAGACAGAAATTCAGTAAGAAACGTACAAGAAAGAAAACGTTAATTGAACTCATGTCATCTGTATCCACTCAAATGTCCTTTCACTAAAAAGAAAAGCCTTCCCTAAACATTTCATATCTAAAACAGCAACCCCACCAAACTTATTACTTTGTTCCCTTATCAAACATTTTCTCCCCAGGTGGAACTTATTTAAACAAGCTGCAGCATAATCTCAACAAGTTCATTTAAATTTAATGGAAAAAAATTTAACGTATATAAACAGAAGCAAATAAACATTCCCTATGAATATGACGGGATTTTTTCCAACAGCTTTATTGAGGCAAAATAAAATGCACTCATTTTAAGTCTACAGATTGATGAGCTCTGGTAATCATATACAGGTATATAACTCACCACCCTATTTAAAATATAGAACATTCATTCTATAGACCATTCCATCATCTCAAAAAGTTCCTTCATCTCTCTTTAACCCTTTCCAGACTCCAGGTCCCAGGCAAAATACTGGTCAACAAAAAGTTTTGCCTTTTCTGAAAATTAATATTAATGAAATCATATGTAGATTTTTGTTTGACTTGCTTCACTTTGCATGTTTCTGAAATACTCCCATGTTGTATCAACAGTTCATTCTTTTGTATTTGATAGTACTGTATACTACAGATGCATAATTTTTTAATCCATTCATGAGAAGATAGACATTTGAGTTATTACCAATTTGAGGCTATTTAAACAATGCTATTGTGAATTTACATATGAGAGAGAGAAAGAGAGACAGAGAGACAGAATGTGTGTTTTCATTTCACTTGGGTTTAATACCCAGGAGAGAATTGCTGAGTCATAGGTTAAATGCACATTAAACTTTTATAAGTGGCTATACCATTTTACATTCTCACCAGCAATGAATGAGCTCAAATTGTTCTCTATCTTGGTATCATCAGTAATTTTAATTTCTCTCATTCTAGAGAGAGTAAAATCGTGGCTTATGATGCTTTTAATTTCTACTTATCCTGAGCTTATTCATACACTTTGTTTTGTGAATTGTCTGCTCACAACCTTTATCCGTTTTTATTGGTTGTCTCACTAATGAATTTTACAAAAATTCTGTGTATATTGTGGTTCAAGCCTTTTGTCAGATGTTTTTTGTAAATATTTTCTCCTAGTGTGTTGCTTGCCTTTTCATTTTCTGTATCATGTTTTGAAGAGCAAAACTTTTAATTTTGATGAAACCCATTATCATTTATTTTACAGTTTGTGGTTTTGTATCCCACTTTTAAAAATCTTTGCTCAATGCAATGTCACAAAAATTTTGTTTTCTTCTAGGAATTTTGCACTTTTACATTTAGATCAATGGACCATTATTAATTTTTGTGTGTGGTATAAGGTAAGTTCAAGGTTCAGTACTTTCCACAAAGATATCTACTTGTTCCAGCACAGTGTGTTAAAAAGACTTTTAATGATTTACCCTGGTGTCACTGCTGAAAATCAATTCACCATGAGTGTAGGTCTATTTCTGAAATCTGTTTTGCTCCATTGATCTAAAAGTCCCTCCATACACCAATCCCGCACTGTCTTGACTACTGGAGCTTATAGTAAGCTTTGACAGCAGGTAGCTTAAGTTCTCCAGCCTACTTTAAAATTATTAATATTTGGGATAATAATTTTTAGAATCAGCTTGTCAATTCTTCAAACAAGCCTGCTGGAATTTTCATTAGAACTCCACTGACTCTAAGGATGGCAACCTCTCCAAAATGATCTAAACATTATTGATTTTTCCAAACCATAGCCATGGCAGTTCTCTATTTATTTAGGTCCTCTTTAATTCTCTTTAGCAATGTTTTGTAGTTTTCAGTGTACACGTCATACTTACTTTGTGTTAAATTTATTCTCAAACATTTTAAACTTGGTTGCTATTATGAGCTAAAATTCCATTTTCCAAATGACGACTAGCATTAGAAATAAAATTGATTTTTGTACACCGACTTGTGTATTCTATAATCTATCCAAAATCACTTTTAGTTCTAGTACACATTTGTAATTTTCTTACCAGGGTCTACAAGCACAATTATGTTCTCTGCAAATAAAGACAGTCTGACTTCTTCCTTTCCAATTCATGACTCTTGATTACTGCTTTGCCCATATTCCACTGGTTAGAGCCTACAGTAGAATGCTGAATGACCCTTCCCTTGATTCCTGATCTTAGAAGGAAAGAATTAAGTAGTTCACCACCCAGGAAGTTGTGGCTTTTCACTGCTTTGGAAATCACCTTTTGCTTCTGGTTTCCGTTCTTTCTCATGAATGTATTTAAGACTATCTCATTTTCTGAATCTACTAAAATGATTATTTGGTATTTATGTTTTATTCTAAGATGATAAATTACTCAGGCTATTGATTTTCAGATGTTAAACAAATCTTGTATTCCTGAAATAACTACTACTTGGGTTTAATGGAATATCCTTTTTTTATATACCAGTAGACTGGGTTTGCCTATATTTTGTTAACACTTTTTGCGTCTGTTGTAGAGAAAAACACTGGCCTATAGCTTTCTTCCACAGTCTTTGTTTGGTTTGTATCAGGGAAACACAAACCTCATACAACACGCTTGGAAGGGTTCCCTCCTGTGCCAAAAAATTTGTGTAGAATTCTTATTTATGTCCTTTAATATTTGAAATAATTCAATGAGAAGCCAGCTGGGCCTAAAGTTTTCTTGATGAAAAGTATTAGTTATGAACTAGATTTTTTAAACTGATATAAGGCTATTAATCTATTTTTTCCTTGGGCCAGTTTTAGCAATGTGCATCAGGGAATCTGTCCATTTCTCTGAATGGCACAAAGGTGCCCAATACACTCCTCATTACCTTTTTGATGTCTAGAGGATCTGTAGTGACAT